CCACGTTTGATAAACTTCATGTTTTTAATTTTATTATTTCAAAAGAGCAGTCCACTTGCCTCTACATCTGTAAAGTAGATCAAACCAGTCAGAGTTGCCAAACAATAACTTAACAGTTTCAGAAAGCGCTATTTCCTTTGACTGGTTCCTCCCCAAGTGGGACCCTAGAAAACACGTATGGAGCCCCTTTCTCCCATCAAAAATTGGCCCCAACGGAAGCCTTTAGGGACACCTGAACTCCCCTGGGGAGCCTTTACGCAACACCACATGCAACCGGACTCTGTCTTCGCTCTTTCTGAACAACCCTAAATGTATCCCTAACGGGAACACTGAGACAAATTTACAATAGGAACCCGAAAATATGTACGGCGACACTTTCTCCAATCAAAAAGTGCCCCCAGTGGAAGCCTTTGGGTACAACTGAACTCCCCAGGGGAGCTTTTATGCAGCCCCACATGCAACTGGACTTTCTGTTTTTGCTCTTTCCAAACAACCCTAAACGTAACCCTAACCGGAACATTGACCCGAATTTTAAATAGGACCTCAGAAAATGCTTACGGAGCCACTTTCTCCCATCAAAAAGTGCCCCCATGTGGTGGTTTCGCTCAAGTGGGCAGCCGAGCTCCACCACAACCACTCTCTCACTCCCTCTCCTCAAAGAGGAACAGGGAGAAAATACTATGAAAGGGGCTCAAAGGTTGAGATAAGGACAAGGAGATCACACAGTAATTATTGTAACGGGCAGAATAGACTTAGCTTAGGGAGACAGTAAGATTTATTGCTTATTACTAACAAGCTAGAGAAGTGAGAAACAAAGGAAAGAAACCAAAAGCAACTTCCCCCCCATCCACCCTCTTCCACCTCCTCCCCCCTAGCGGCACAGGGGAATGGGGGTTATGGTCAGTCTACAGCGCTTCTTCTCTGCCACTCCTTCTCAGTCACTCTCATCCCCTGTGCTGTGAGGTCCCTCCCACGGGATGCAGTCCTTGATGAACTGATCCAGCATGGGCTTCCCACAGGCAGCAGCTCTTCCAGAACTGCTCCACATATGGGTCCATACTAAGAAACAATAAGTCCGCACAGAAGCACAGAGAGAGGGAAAAAAATATATATATTCTCTACTTCCCATCAACAAGTGATGTTCAGCCACGTCCTAGGAAGCAGGGCCTCAAAACGCGTAGTGGTTGTCCAGGAGGAACAGCCCCCTCCCCCTAAGAGCCCCCCTTTTTATTGCTGAGTGTGACATCAGGTGTTATGGAATATCCCTTTGGTTGACTTAGGTCAGCTGCCCTGGCGATGTTCCCTCCCCATCACTTGCCCACCCTCAGCCTGCTGGCTCCTGGGGGCTTGGAAGGAGTCCTGATACTGTGACAGCACTATGCAGCAATAGACACAACACTTGAGTGATATCAGTGCTGTTCCAGCTATGAGTGCAGAGCACAGCACTGTGTGGGCTGCTGCAGGGAAAAGGTGACTCCATCTCAGACAGACCCAACACAATATCGTATGTTATATGGCAGCTCATTTTAAACTGAACATCTTGGCAATTAAGATTGAAAGGAGCAAACTGAGGCTGAGGTGTTTTAACAAGGGAGCTGTGTTGGGTGGTGCAAATGATCTGATTCTTTCTGTCCCCCGAGTCTCCAGCTGACACTGTAGGTTTGGTGCAGCATTTGTTCCCTTCTGACAGCTGTTTACAAACTGCTTTTTCATGTGACTTTTATTGCATGCAGAGATCTCCAGATAAGATCCACAACTGTGCAGAAAATCACAGCTCCCTGAAGATGGTATCCACGTCCTCATCACTGCTGCTGACAGCACGAAGGCAAACCAACCCCTCTCTGTCCCTCGCCTTCCTCTCCTGTTCCCCATTACACCATATGGATTCCCTCAGACTGTAAAGTGTTCCATTGCACTTCAACGCTGTGCAGAAGTCAAAGCCAGGAATGTTTTTCTGTCCAAATATAGTCAGGCTGACAGTCCTTGCCTGTAGTCCAAGCCAAATATGCTTCAGAACCTGAGACCAACAAAATTCAGTAGAACTCCAAAGTCACAACTGCACTTCTCCGCCCTTGTATAAAGGCAGTCCTTTCATGGGTCGGGCTGCCTGATAAATCATGGAGAATATTTTCAGCTTTAAAGAACCAAAGGTAAAACTTGAGTTTTGACTGTCCTCTTGCCCTTGGCATGGAGCAACACTTGCTCCTAGGAATGAGTCTGGGGAGTTGTCTGAAACACCTGAGAAAGGCTTCAGAAACAGTGAGGTTCTCCAGAACGTGCTTTTATTAAAGATCTAGATCATAGCTTTCGGGGGGATCTGAACCAAGACATGTATCTTATAAAAACCTTTGCTTTCTCTATGGGGGGGACAAAGGAAATTCTTAGGTCCCTCAGGCTATGTGTTTGGGAGTTCTCAATTCATGTTTTAAAACCCAGGTCCACCTGTCATCTTCAGGACCAGAAAGGCACTAACAGGGTGCTTGGAAGTCCTGGTTTCAGGTTTTCCTGCTCTGCGAGATTCCTGCTTGACCACAAGAAAGCCTCCTACACAGTGCTGTGGTCTCAGCACTGACCACAGGTGCAGGTAAGGTGCAGATAATGGCGCTGCCCTGCCCTCAGGACAGATATGAAGCTAAATGCTCAGAGACTGAGACACTCAGACACTCTGGCAGGAGGAGAGGCTACACGTAACACTGCACAGGGTACATTTTTCAGACAGCGCTGACTTGTACGAGCCTTATGAAGGGCAAGTGCACTTACTGCTGTTGCGCAGTTGCATGACTGAAACTCAATGTTCTTCCAGCACTGTGTTTGCTAGCAGTATTTCTTCTGAGCCAGTACTACTTTACTGGAGAAAAGTTCTTGGCTAAAGTTTCAGTCACATTCCAAGGCAGGTCTCTGCTTCGAGATTCAGCTTCTCTGTCAGTCGTCTGCAGTCTGCAGACTTACAGAAACCGCTTCAGGTGCCTGAGACACTGCTGAGTTGCGGAGCTGCTCAGTTACCAGTTTCTTGCTTCATTCTCTGGTCGTAAAAGCCATCAAAGGTGCATTTGCACCACTTGGGGGCTCCAAAGAAAGCACGGGTTTGGGGTGCACAGGCACAGGCATGTCCCATTCCACAGCTGTGCTACTGGGATGTGGTGTAACTCCCTGTAAAGTGGCAGCTAACAGCTGAGATGAGGCAGGATTTCAGACTGATGCAGTTCAGCTGCTTTGGTCTGTAGGTGTTAGAGCCCTGTCCCCTTGCTTTCTGCCCTTTCCTCCCAGTTCTATGCAAAACTTCCTTCCGTGTTACTGCTCTTTCTGTCCTGGTGTCTGAACAACTCCTGTGCTTTGCCCACTCTGCAGAAAGCATGGTTCTTGTCTGGGGGGGAATTTGGTAAAAACTGGAAAAGAAAATGTTCATGGAACTACACACGGGCTCTTTGGTCATCTTTATTCTGAGTTGTTTAAGAAGTCTGGGCCAGCTTTAGTCCCAAAACACATGAACACTCTGAAACGTCACAAAACCTGGATAGGTTGGAGAGCTGGGCGATCGCCAACCGCATGAAGTTCAATAAGAGCAAGTGCCGGGTCCTGCACCTGGGACGGGGAAACCCTGGCTGCACGTACAGACTGGGCGATGAGACGCTGGAGAGCAGCCTAGAAGAGAGGGATCTGGGGGTCCTTGTAGACAGCAAGTTGAATATGAGCCAGCAGTGTGCCCTGGCAGCCAGGAGGGCCAACCGTGTCCTGGGGTGCATCAAGCACGGCATCTCTAGTAGGTCAAGGGAGGTGATTGTCCCGCTCTACTCTGCGCTGGTGCGGCCTCACCTCGAGTACTGTGTGCAGTTCTGGGCACCACAGTATAAAAAGGACATGAAACTGTTGGAGAGTGTCCAGAGGAGGGCTACGAAGATGGTGAAAGGCCTGGAGGGGAAGACGTACGAGGAACGGCTGAGGGCACTGGGCCTGTTGAGCCTGGAGAAGAGGAGGCTGAGGGGAGACCTCATCGCAGTCTACAACTTCCTCGTAAGGGGGTGTCGAGAGGCAGGAGACCTTTTCTCCATTAACACCAGCGACAGGACCCGCGGGAACGGGGTTAAGCTGAGGCAGGGGAAGTTTAGGCTTGACATCAGGAGGGGGTTCTTCACAGAGAGAGTGGTTGCACACTGGAACAGGCTCCCCAGGGAAGTGGTCACTGCACCGAGCCTGTCTGAATTTAAGAAGAGATTGGACTGTGCACTTAGTCACATGGTCTGAACTTTTGGGTAGACCTGTGCGGTGCCAAGAGTTGGACTTGATGATCCTTAAGGGTCCCTTCCAACTCAGGATATTCTATGATTCTATGATTCTATGAACTAGGAAAAAATGTCAAATTAGATTATTTTTAATTACTTAATGTACAAGAGGTTTCTGAAACCTTTCCGTCTTTCAGATATGTCCTAGGAATGTTTCTTACTGGCACCAGAACTGCCCGCTCCCTGCCTTTGCTGGAGGTGGGAGATGGCAGCGAGTTCCTTTCCTCTACCTGGTCAGAGCTGTCCAGCTGAGGACCCCACCTCCGAAGTGCCAAGTGTCTAGTGCTCAGTGACCAGGCAGAAATGAAGACCTGAGAATTTCTGAGTAAGCTTTTAAAAAGTGACAAACTGACTCAAACCCACAGCCCAGAGGTGTCTTAAAGACTCCAGCTGCTCTAGGCAAACTGGCCACCTTCCTTCTCCAAGTCTGTCTGTGGTGCTCAAGCTGAGGTATCCCAAACAGCATGATTGTGAATGAATATTCCTCTCTCTGAGCATAACACCCCTTACTGGGTCACTCCCAAGTACACAAGGAATGTGCAGGAGTCACTTGCCAAGTTTCATGGATCCTCATCCATGATGTTTACTTTGATCAGAGTTTGTAAACTCCCCGACCAAAATTTTCAGAGTGGAGAAAAGGTGCTTGCTCTCGCCCAGCATCTCCTTTTTCATTCTGCTCCTGAAGCCAGGCTCTGATGAATGACAGCTCCGCTACCACGGAGCACTGTGAGCAAGCATTCCGCGGGCATGATGCTGGTTTCTGGATTCCCTTTTCTGCCCCCTCCCCCAATTTCTTTATTACATAAAGCTGACAACTGCAGATTTGTCCTCTGCTGATTATACAGGCAGTTAAAGAGAAGAGTTCATGTCCATCCCAGCTTGTTTCAGTTTGCTCCTTCCCCACCAGCCCAACTTTCAGCTGCAGTAATCTGATACCGCTTGGCAGAGGCTAAGAGAATGAGAATTTTTGGCACATTGGAAAGAGGCTTAATGTAAAGTCGGCTTTCTTTCTTTTTTTTTTTCTCTCCTTTTTTTTTTTTCTGAAACTCTCGTGGTTCTGCACAGCTCTGGCAGAAGCTGCAGGACTCCTCACAAATGCTCCAGATGCAACTGTGAGCAAAAGGATTAGCAATGCATTCTGCAAAGGGGATGCCTTAGGAGCTCTCATCTCCCTCTAAAAAGTACTAAAGACTGACATGGAACAAATAGAACAACTTTCTGCAAGCAGAAAGAAGAGCTTCAGCTTCCTCTCGGTGGACAAGAAAAGCAATGGGTATCGGACCCTCGTGGGATTTTTGTGCATATTCCCTGTGGTGGCTTTGCTGGCTGTCATGGGAGATCCAGCTGGAGCTGTTGTTCAGAAGAGTCAGGTAGGGAAAAGATCAAACTGTAAAAAGCTTGGAAGGGGAGTGGGGATATCGTGTGTGTGTGTGTGTGTGTGTGTGTGTGTGTGTGTGTGTGTGTGTGTGTTGTTTTTAGAAGACTGATGAACTCAGGAAGCAATCTAACCGATGTGTAAGTAACTGTGTTAAGGCAACCAGATTTATGTCTATTCAAGCCACTTTTTGCAAAGGATCCTGAGAGGTAATGATGCATCTAAATGAAATCAGATTGCTAGAGGTGTGTACACAGCTTGCAGACGGCCAAGTGGTGCCTGCATAAAAGCTTTGTGTTTGCCCTCAGAACTTGAGCTCTCCTGAGCACCTGGCTCTCCCAGCCCGCTGTGATGTGGCACACACACATTCTGGTTTCTGCAGCAGCTGAGATTCCTAGGAACTCCAGAGGCAGGGCTCATGGTGTAAGATTGAAACTGGGAGTTGGTGCTGGACCTACAGAAGGTAGTAGCTATGTTAACTCTTTCAGGGTCTATCTGTTAATAAGATAAGCTGGGACAGACTCAGCTTCGGGTGGAGCTGTAGCAGGACTCTGGGACTCTCAGAAGTTGATCTTAATCTTCACTTTTAGCTTAATTTCCACTTTCAATTTTATAAAAAGAAACAATTCAAGAGCTTTTAGCACTTCCTGCTGTTTGTGTTTATGATGACCCTGGCAGTAGCATCCCTCGTTTGCATCACGTATTCAGGGCTCTTCTTAACTTGGTTCTGAGCCACGGAGTTGTGTTGCTGTTTAGTTTGAGTGGGGAACTGCACGACTAGGAGAGAGAGAGGAAAGAATTACATTCATTACAGCTCAGTGAAGTAAATTAATGGAGGCCTGACTGCCCGGGGTGAACAATATAGACGAGGCATGCTGACCAGAGTCTGCCTTTATCTGTGTATATTTTAGTGTTTGTTTAAATTGTTGAAGGAGTTGAAACATCTGTCCTTCTTGTGGCATGTCCCAAAATTTCTGAATACTTAAGACCTTACTCCACAGTCGAGTGGGCTTCCTTCTGGGAATTGCTGACCTCTTCTCCAGTTCTGAATATTCCCATAGTCTCAGCTCTTTGGCATCCAGACAGATCCTTTGATCCAAATTACACTGTGTAATTTTTAACTAGATCATTCCCGTTTCTGTCAGAACCCTAAACCTGAGCTGCAGCGTGTGTGTTAGGCATTGGTTCTGAGTTGAAAAGCCGACTGTCTTTTTATACCCTACACTGGTGCAATTTATAGCCCCATGGCAGAGAAGGCAGAAGCAGTGCCCATCACTCAGGCCCTGCAGCTGGTGGATCAGTGCTATCACAAAGTGGAAATGGCACCAGTTGGGCTGTGCATACATAGGCCAGAAAGAAATGAGCTGTGTTCTGCTGGCTTTGCTAAGGAGCAGGGGGATCTATCACAAACAGACAGCTACCATTGGGTGTTAATGTCTGACCTCATCCCCTGATCAAGACTCCTGAGACAGAGCAGGAATTCCCAGTACCAGCAGTCCTGGGCTGGTGATGCCAGAACGAGCGTGCAGTCAGGCCCTGTGCTGGCAAGGGATCAAAGAGAAAGGAACAGAAGAACATCAGGTAGGATTTGCCTAATTCTACCCTACTAGAAAGAGTTGCAAAAAGGAGGATACCTTACTATCCCATAATTATGAGCTAATCTTCTCCAGGCTCCTCTTACAGCTCCAGCAGAACTGAGCCCACCAAGAAATACAGGTTATCCAGACAGGCCCCAGCGTAGAGCAAACTAGGTGACAAAGGTTAAAAGGGAGAAGCGACCCCAAGTGCTCGTTCAAGACCAAATTGATATTGGAAGGCTCCCAGAACTGTGATCAAATAATGCCCTGCCAAAAGCTTGCAGCTTTGAAGGTACGATATGTAGCATCTCTTTGTGCCATAGGTGACACTGTGTGGCCTTTGCATGCCTTACATTTGCTCTGATGAACCCAAATTGTGAGTCAGGCCCTTGGCTGAGCTGACAGACGGGCTACAATAGAAGGTTGTCCTAGAAAAGAAAGAAGCTGAGATTAGAGCAAGCAGAAGCCAGTGCAGCACACAGACATTAGCAGAAGAAACTGGTTTCCTGTTGGGATAGAGTCCCTCAGCCTTTCTCCAGTCATGACTAGCTTCAGTCATGGAGCGATTTGAGCAGTGTCTGGCAGCTGCAGCTTCTGGCTTCCTGTCCTTCCTTACCATTGGCTTGCTGTAGGCCAGGGATCTGCTGTTTTGCCTCTCCAAGCCTTAGCTGTTCCGTGTGTAAAATGCAGACTTCTGTAGGATGTGCTGGGCGGTTGGACAAACTCAGACTGGTGCAGCTTTTGTAATGCTGCCACTGTACATACTGCAGTGTTGGTCTCGGTGCCTCAGGAGCAAAGATGACCCAGAGACATTCGGTGTCTTCCTCCTGAAAAAGGAAGCAGAGCAGGTGGACTTCCAGGGATCTATGCTGGTCTCACTCTTTTACCTCTGCTGCTGTAGGTGGAGTCAGGCATGCCACCAAATATGATGTCTTTTACTGTGTGATGGCTTTAAACGCACTCCAGGGTTTCCAGGGCTCCAATTTACTTTGAAAGCATTTCAGATCCACAGCCCAGCTTTATAAAGAGCTCTCGCACAAAGGGTTGCCTGTTTGACTCATTTATCCGGTGCTTCATTTCTTCTGCGGTTAGGCTGGAGAGCAACAGCAAAGTGGAAAGGAAATGAGGGCTTTTCAGGAAGAGCTGCAGCTCTGCTGGGGCCAGAAGCTGTCTGAAGCCTTGTTTCTGTTCCATCTGTGCTGCTCTCCAGGAGAGGAGCAGCTGCAGTGCCCTGTCCTGGAGTTATGCAACAGCTCAGGGGAACCTACAGCACCGATCCTCTGGGAGCCAGCACCGAGGGGTGCTGCTCCCTTCTTGCACCTGAGTGATGCCCCGGGAATTCATAGCAAAGCCCCTCTTTTGCTCTGCCTTGGTTTTGTTCAGCGTGCTCTGCCAGGCACTGAGTAGCCGATGTGCCAGTCCCTTCTCCTGGACACCATGCGGGAGGGCTGCCCATGCTCCCCAGCCACCATGTGCCCCACACTTGGTAGGTTTTCTTCTGTGCTGTTCTATCCTGCAGTCTCTCCCACCTCCTTCAACCTCCTGTTTTGTCTTTTAAGGAAGGTGCCACATCATCGCCTGGTCTTCGTGGAGCAAGCACCTCTGCTTTGCACAGCCCAGCTTTCCCACCTCGGCCTCCAGCACGGAGAAAGCGATACACGATCACGCCGGGGCACTTGAAGTGGGATCACTTCAACCTGACCTACAAGTATGGACTTGCATCAGCCCTTACATCTTTCTAAGTGACCATGGGCATGATATTAACCATACGAATACTGCTAATCCATTTGTCAGTGAGTGGATAGCTGCTAAAGGCGCTCTAAAGCAGGAATTTTTTCTACTAATGTCCACCTCTCACCTTGGCTGTGTGCTAAGCATCCCCACTGCATTAGAAGCAAGTAGCACATGTGGCAGCAAGCTGAGACTAACAGTAAAACTGTTAGGGGGCAAATTGAGGCTTCCCAGAGCTAGGGCTGCCCGCAGAAGGTAAGGAATTGAAACTGGCTCTGCTGTGCTGTTATTTTTAGAAGAACTCCATCTGAACCTAAGTCATCACTGAGGGAAATTGCTGTTGAAAGGTTCTGTGATTTCAGGAGGATGGAGCTCCATTAGTGTTGAGTGCTTTTAGGAATCACTTTCTTCTTGCTGTCTTCGGGAAAGCACACCAACTCTCAGGTTACTAATAAACAATAAAAAGCCTTTGGCAGTTCTAGGGTGAGTGAATATTAACCCCACTGTTTTCAGACTTTTCTGCCAGGGAAAGTGGCTGTTGAGCATAGCGGTGGAGCTGTGTGTATGTGTCGTGCTGGTGCTACCAACAAGCAGGCTGTTACTCAGAGCCAGACCTAATGGACTGCTGTGGCTTTTCACACTGAACTTTCACGTTGCTGCCTGGCTGTACTGCTAGCATTAGATTTCTTAAATCCTGCGTGGTGCTTAGCCTCAGGGCAGCACACTTCCTGCATTCAATGGTGGCTGAACAGCCCCTGAAACTGTTTGTTGAGCTGTGGTGGCAGCATCCTGGACAGATGATTTTTCTCTCTGGGAAAATATCTATGGCATTGGTGAATGTTTTCAGGAGAGCTAGTGTGAGCTCAGAGAGAGCAAGGTTCGGGAATCCCCTCGGAAGCAGTTTCAGAAGACAAGCCCTGGCAGGTGGAATGGGGCTGTCCTTGTAAAGCTCAGGCTGTCAGGAGTCCTGGAAGTTTGACTGGAGAGGCCAGCTGATCCTTGCTGGCTGACAGAGCCGTGCATCTTCTGGGAAACAATGATGCCAAATCATTTTTTTCCAAATGCCTAATGTGCTAACAAAGGCCTTTTTAATGAGGCTGCTGACTCCAGCCTCTCCTTTAAAGTACAGAGCAAGCCCCAAACAGAGCTCTTGAGGGAGAGCCGGCATCCCCAGCAGGTAGGCAGCAGGGCTGGGTTGGCAGGTCTTGGCAGATTCCTGAAAGCATCCCAATTGCTGCACTGTAGGCAATTTGCTGAATGCAGATCTGCTTTTGGGGTAAGGTAGGTTTTTAGGAGCCTTGTGTACCTTATTGTGGATAGACAGGGGTTCTGCCATCCTTCACTAGATTTTCTTACAGTTCAGCTGTATCTGTACCTTCAGCCTAAGTGAAAGCCTTAGTTTCTCTCCCAAGTGATGAGATTTTTCAAAGGAAATCTCTTGTTTTGCTCCCAAACCTTTGGAGCCCTCTTTCAAAAGTTCTGCCTAAGAGCATTATAGCTCAGCACGTGCGTGTGCATTGTAACTGCAGTGATGGGAGGAGTTGTTACTTGATGCTGGAAGGCAGTTGCTTTCTCTTCCAGCAGTGCTGCACCACAGACAGGTGTTAGGATAAAGTGGATTTCCAAGAGAACCTTGTCTAAAATATTCTTAATATCCAGTCCAAGCTACTCCTGTGTGAACCTAATAGAGTGCATGGAAAGACTTGATTGCCTGATGCAGCCCTGATAGCCTTTTTCTCACATGTGGGGAAGGACCAGCATTTTCCTGAGGTTGTTCTGTGTCCCTGCAGAATCCTCTCCTTCCCGAGAAACCTCATAAATGCCAGGGACACACGCAAGGGGCTAGCAGCTGCGTTCCGGATGTGGAGCGAGGTTTCACCGTTCAGCTTCAGAGAAGTGCCACGCCACGTAGATAGTGACCTGAAAATAGGTGAGCTGCACAGCTGCCTGCACTGACAGGAGGCTGTTGTGTGTGCCGTCTGTCTACCTGCTGCTCTGTCCTCTTCTTCCTGTCCTTCTGCCCCTACCACCACGCACAAGTCACCTCCTGACTTTCTCAGGCCTAGAAGAATGTTAGCACTGAGCTCTTATCTGCTCCATCTCAAACCCAGCTGTACGTTCTCCCTGGGATTTATGGCCTGTGTGCAGTAATTATTTCTTGTGCAGATGGCAGCAATATTGAAGTAACAAGCAGAGTTTCCAGTGTTTCGCAATAAGCAGTTCAGTCTGCTGTTGCATGAGGCTACTTCCAAGCACATGATAAACCTTCCCAGGGGCCTGTCCTGCTACCACTTGCGAGCTCCAGGTGGCCCCATTCCAGTGGACACAGGGTGCATTGTGAAGCTGTTGCGGTGCTAGCAAAAAGTCAGCAAGCAGCTGCAACTGTAAGGCTGTTTGTTCGTTTGCATGTAAAATTGAATGATTGCATCCTGGGGTTATCATCTCGCTGTCCTGCATCTTGGGGTTATCATCACACTGTCCAACTTCACTCAAAAAAAAAACAAAGTTTCCTTGTGATGTTGCAAAGAGCATTGAGCATTCCTTTCTGAAAAATAGATTCCTTAGCGTGCACTGGGGACAGCTCCAAATCCAAGGTCATCACTGGGCTGAGCCTAGTTTGCCTCACAGCAGTTGCTTTGCATTTATTTTTCCTGTTGTGTTTGTAGGTTGCAAAAAAAAAAAAAAAAAAAAAAAAAAAAAAGTGGGATACAGCAACAGATTTCTTAGTAAACCACAAGTTTACATGTCTCTGTCCTGGATGGGCTTATCCTGCTAGATACACTAAATCTGTTTCCTTTCTCATAGGCTTCTACTCCATCAATCACACAGACTGTCTAGAGTCTCTCATTCACCACTGCTTCGATGGAACAACAGGGGAACTTGCCCATGCCTTCTTCCCACCCAATGGAGAAATCCATTTTGATGACCATGAATACTGGATATTGGGAAATACCCGGTTCAGCTGGAAAAAAGGTACTATGTGTCTCAGAGAGAACATCGATGATGCCTCTAAGATTTAGATCTTTGTCCTGAGTGCCAGTTCTGCCAGATTCTCCACCATAGCAGCCCAATTCCATGCTTTTATTGCAGATAGTTCAGCAGCTGATTTGCATACAGTTCAGCCACTTCTGTAAAACAGTAATAACATTTCTGACTTCAGAAGGCGAATGTGGGGCTAGTAGTACTTGTTCCAGTAACTGCATCTCTGCCCAAAGCTGAGCTAGCTCAGGTATTGGCTCAAAGGATGGAAAAAAAGTAGAATAAAATTATTGTTCTTCCAAGTCACGTCAGTGAGATTTAGCAGAAGTCTTTAAGAGCCAAAAAAATCCACTGACTAAGGATTCCTGTTTAATGTGCTGATAAGTTAAGCACATGTGCAAGCTACCCCCTTCAGACGCTCTCTTTCCATAAGCAGTTGGATTCAACACAGGAATTGTGCGATACTGCTGTGGCCTCTAATTATGCAAGATACCAGGATAGGTGTCAGTAATAATAGCACCTCTTTTGAGTCATCCTTCAGCTAAAATCCATCCTGTCTGGAAGCAGACTTCAAGATGCTACCGAGAAGCTTCGGTTCAGCCCCACAAGCAGAAGTCAGCTGGAGGCTTTTTTAAGCTGGAGCGTTCCAGCTAGCAGCCTCACCCCCAAGCAGTCAGTTCCAGTTACAGCTCAGGGCTGCAGGAACAAAGCAGCAGAAAGCTGCCAGGAGGATGTGAATATTACAGGGCACTTGGCCCCATTTCAAACATTGCTCTTTCAGAGCAGTCCTCCTATAGTCTGGCAAGAACTGCTGATCAAATTAGAAGTGCATATAAATAATTGGCTTGACTGCACCCAAGGAGAAGAAAATGGGCAGCCTTTCCTAAGGCCACACCTTCTAAGTGCTAAAATATTTCCTCTGGTTTTACACCAGGATTAGCAAATGTACTTTACCACAGTCAGCTTTTTTTTCCATTTCTCTTCCAGGTGTTTGGCTCACAGATCTGGTACACGTAGCAGCTCATGAGATAGGCCATGCCTTAGGACTCATGCACTCCCTGAATCCCAATGCCCTCATGCACATCAATGCCACTTTGACTGGGAAAAAGACCATCTCTCAAGATGAAGTCTGGGGAATTCACAGGCTTTATGGTAAAGAAGGCAGGGTTGTGCTTGGGATTTGGCAGGACTAGGCTATAAGCCAGGGAGCAGTATCCAGGAGGAATCCTATTCCTTTTTTATGCAAAGTGGAACTAAAAGGAGGTGTAGCATTGTCTGTTTCTGGCACTGATAGTTTCACATGTCAAAGACAGGAGGCCAGCCACAAATACATTACTGTGTGGTATCTTGCAGGCTTCATGCTCCCACCTTCCCCCATGGCAGGTCTGAAAGCCGCTTGACTGACCCCTCAAACCTTACATCCTCAGCCTGCGCTGAGCGACTCCAGCACAGGCACCGCAGTGTCCCCTTACATCTAGATTGTTGTGCTGCAGCCCAGCATCACCTCTGGGCACGTACTCTGAGCCTTGCTTTTGTACCTTGTACTGTGCGTCACCCAAGACAAAAGGCTAATTTTAGCCATGGAGAGTCCCGACAATGCTTTTGGACATTTGCTAACATGAAGGGAAGGGAAAAGCTTGCATGCAAAGAAAGGGAGAAGACAAACAGCTGTCGATTATTCTCATGGCTGGATTGGGCTGTTACCAGAACATGACAGAGCTCTGCAATCCAGACAGGCTGTGGGAAGATGCTCTGGAGGTCCAGAATATTTGCCTGCCACTCTTCAAATGCTGCTCTGTTTTTATCACTGATGGCATGGTGCTAAAGTAGCACAGTATCTACCCCCCGTTCTTCTAGTAAAGGCTTCCTGCTCTATTTATTTTACTCCCTTTTTAGTTCCCTTCCCCTCTCAGCACCATCATTTACATTGAGCAATCTGATTTGGGTGAAATGCCACTTTATTATTTCTTCGAGGGAGAAGGAACACTGTCCTGCCAGTTGCTCTCATGCCTTGTCTCTTTCTGTTCCAGGATGCAGAGATAGATTATTTATGTGCCCATCATGGGCACGAAAAGGTTTCTGCGAGACACGCAGGAAGTTGATGAAAAAGCACTGTCCCTCCACCTGTGACTTCTGCTACAGTACCATAACTTTTCTTCTGGGGTTTTGGGGGGGGGGGGGGGGTTGCAGAGGGAGGAGGTAAAGCTTAGCAGCCCTTGCTGCAGGGGTAGGCAGGATCTTTACACCAGAGAGCAGAGGATGCAAGTGACTAGCCCCACCCAGCTCTAACGAGAAGCATAGCAGAGATGCCCTCCTATGCAACAAGCCAAATCAAGGCTTGGAATTAGGACTCAGTTATTATGTTGAAATATTTGTGGACTAGACCATTAAACTGTCCCGTTCTTCCCTAGTTTAACTGAACCAATGCTAGGGAGTTTCTGAACACACAACTACTCCACGTGCCTCAGACTGCTTCCCTTTTGGACCTAGCTGAGGAAGTGAGATGTTGGTGTGTTAAATTCAGAGATAAGAGATGCAGTACAGTACCCGATGCAGTGATGGGACAAGGACAAAACAAGTGACATCTAAAGCATAGCTGGACTTGAGCTGCTCCGCAGAAAAGGAGATAAAATATGTTAATCACCTTGTCTAGTCTCTCAGTTTTATTAATTCAGACAAGGAACTAATACAGGATCATGTGAACTTACTGCAGCTGTGGAACTGAGTTATAGATAAAAACCTGCTGCCCTTTAGGAGTTGCACCATATAAAATTAGTATCTCACCAGTACAGAGGTGGTTTTTTAGACCAGAATAATGCAAAAATGCAGTAAGATAGCTACAAACCCATGCATTCTAGGTGATTGTTCATAAACAGAACTTCTTTTTCCTTGTATATGAAATGAGCAAGTTGATTTTTATCCATCTGTGTCAGTTTACATGCCATAAGTTAGTTATCTTTGCATATGAACAAGGTTAAATGTCTATGCAAGAACTGTTCAATAGGAAGTATTTTTAATAAATACTTCTAAGATTCCTTAGGTGATAACATAATGCTATGAAAGTGTTTGGGCATGACTGAAGCTTGGTAATGAGACGTGCTAACATTCGTCATTTCTTTCTCTCAAATTCGGTGGACAGAATTCCCCTTTCCAACGGTTCCTCCTACTCTGCCCCCACCACGGACAAAAACCAAGACTGTTTCCGAAGGCAGGAACGTCACCTTCCGCTGTGGACAGAAGATCATTCATAAAAAAGGCAAAGTTTAGTAAGTGCTGTCATTTATTTCAGTCCTTTAGGACACTTTGCAGCATACATACCAAAAGGAGGAAGAGTGAGGGCGTATGACAAAACATTGTTCGTAAGAGTGCCATTTGTCTTCTGCAGCATGTGACTCTTTCAGTTGGCACTCTGAGTAGAAAGAGGGGTGGCTCGTTAACTGTGAGAAGGGAATGTGCAAATACTGTTTATAACATTGTGAAGTATTATTTTTGGATATTTTATTTGGATAACTGTGATATTTAATTTTAATTGGATAACTCTGGGCAAGTCAAAGTTACTGGCCCATATTCTGCAAAAAAACTGTCTTATGTTTATCCATTCACTAGCTTGCTAACTCTTACTAGTATAGGAGCGTATTTCTAGATGTATCTAAAACGGAGAGAAATATGCCCAAGTCCCTGGGTTAGTTTAGACTCGGAACCCAATTTCCCATTCACTTTCAATAGGATTCCAACTAGTAGATTACTCAGGATAACGCACTGTTAAATCTGCCATCATCTACCTCAAAGAGATAGTAAAACTTAACGTCATTTTTGTTCAAGTCCCGTTTGTGCTGCAATGCACTTATTTGAACAAAACTTATTAGCTGAAAGGACATCTAACACATGTTTTGCACTGTACTTGATATTTTATAGTTTAATGTCTATTGTTTTTCTTATGACAGCTGGTATAAAGATAAGGAGCTTCTGGAATACTCATATCCAGGTTACTTATCCTTAAATGACGATCACATGAGCATCATTGCAAATGCAATTAATGAAGGAACTTACACTTGTATAGTAAAGAAAAAAGAAAGAATCTTGACCACATATTCCTGGAGGATCAGACTGAGACACTAACAAGGGCTCTGGAATAAGAACTTCAATTACTGCTAGTTCTGTTTCAAATTCAGTATGGTTCTTTAGCATTTTGTATTTAATCTTCAGTAGTGTAAACGAACTTCTAAATCAGCCGCTTCCATACCTTGGGCAAGAAAGACTCTGGGACTTGATTACTGGAAAACAAAACTTTTCCAAGTTAGCTTTAATGGTAAATAATTCATTGAGTGCGTGCTGTTCAGAGAATTTAAAAAAATAATAAAAAAAATCAAGTGTAAGATTTTGCAGTTAAACTGGATCACTGCAGACTGCTGAAAAACAAGACCATAACCCTTGATCAAACAGTGGAGGAACACTGATGGCTCAGCTGTGTTGCAATGGAAGGAAAATGACCGGTTATTGTGGGAAGGAAAATGCTCTGTAAGTGTTTTGCTATCATTTTCTCAGATCTTGGTACATAGTACTAGAAGCACTTGTAAAAACAAACAAACAAAAAAGACCTAATATTACTTTTTCTTTTAAACAACCCCTTTCTAACTATTCTATTCCACATTTCAACATGTTCAGTTCAGGTATCCGCAGAACATCTTTCCCCCCCTACAACAACCGCTGTCCTGTGCTTTGTATTTATTACCTGTATAACCGTAGCCCATATACTGTTTACTTTCATCTGCAGCTCCTCATAACTTGTCCCTCAGGTGTCTGGTCAGTAAACATCTCAGCTTCTTCAGTAGAGGTAAGATAACTTCCGTTAGTGTCACCCCCAGTCACTAAGAGATGAGGTGAATGTGCACATCTAACAGAAAAATAGCATTAGCTCACTTGGCAAAGCCCAGCGCACTCCAATGCCTGTATCAGTGGAGGATTCATTTGCACAATTAGCAATCCCTGATAGTCCTTACATTCATTAAGTACACAAAAGAAAGATCCTTATCCAGTATTAAAGCAGCCTACATAGTTTTTTGCTTAGGTTCATCCATTTTTACTCGTCCTCTTAGCCTCTTCAAAGAAGTTTCTTCCTACTTTGAAACACCACCAAAACTGCAAAGCACCTCATGGGTTGCATTATAGGTCAACACTCTAGGAAGCTCTCTGTATTAGGACAGCAAAAGTGCAAGGGAAAAGTAAGAAACTAATCAGAATGGTTTGTCTGGTACAATTGCAATGACAGTCATTTTACTGGCAAACATTTAGCACGAACTCTGCACATCTTCATTTAACAGACCGGAGCAACACCACGTGGAGCTGAGCATCTCCTCTCAAGGAAGCTCTGTCTTCAGGATTTGGAGAAGAGAAACGAGAGCAAAGAGCTGATCGTCATATAGCACAAGGGGATGTCAACACTTCAGCTGCACAGATGCTTAATCCTAGGGCAGATCTGAAGCCCTTCATCTCACAGCTTAACACTTTCTAAAACATCATTTATGATTACTGAGTTTCGTGCAATTTCTCTAACTGCTGTTTACCTATGTGGCAGTAACCTACCGCTATCTCTGCAGTACTCTCCAGTTGATGTTCCTGGCAGGCAGTGTCCAAGACGTAGTTTGGGGAATAAAGAAATGCCCAGGCAAAACTGAAAGCAGCTGCAGGGTAAATGCTGCTAGCTAAGGACCTGCTTTGCCACCGCCATCCTGTTAGGAGTTAACCACCTTCAAATACTGGCTGTGGACCTGAAGGCCACTGGGAAAAGAAACCAACGAAACAAGTTGCACGTTTAAGACAACAGGCCACTGCCCTACTCTGTCACTCCTCTGGGATGCCACTGACAAAAATCTTCCAGTGTGTACAGCTGTTCTGGCTACAGCTTCAAGGCTAGCTCATCACCCCACACAATGGTCAAGGAACTCAGAAAAAAAAGATTTAAATTTCTGTAAAGAAGCCAACAGCAACAATGACAAATTACACTCTCTCTGTTGCCTGCACAGGAAAATTGCATGACAGCTTCCATTTCTGGAACATAGATTTGCTGGGACAGAAAACACTTCACAGACTGGGTGAGCTCTTCAAGGTAAGCAACAAAAGTCACCTTCTCTTGGATTACAATTTGATTTTATAAAAATAAAAACTGAAATAAATAACAACAAAATATGCACCTGAACTACAACACTCCTGTGATTCCACTGCACACTCATGCACTGGAACTTCCACTTTTTTCTAAATGATTTATCTTTGCAGATTATCCATGGTTGGTTGAAATCAGTTATTTAAAAAAAACATGATTTCAAACTAATTGAACACTACAGTACTGTTCCTGGTGAAATAGACCTGTAAATATTTTCTCTCTTTACTTGCCTTTGCGTAACTTATGTATGATTAAAAGCAAACAACTCCCGTCAGTGTCAGAAGTCCAGATTTGTTAGCCCACGTTGGAAAGAAGAACGCCTTCCAGCTGTATCTGACACACCTGATTAAGTAGTTAAAGATCAGTAATCATTGTGGGTAAAGCACTGTTAGCATTTCAGGATTTCTGTCCCCTTTCACTTCTCATGTATTTAATGAGTAAATAAGCTTTAGATTCAGTTTTACCATCAGAATTACCTTATAATATAAAGATAAAATAGAATTCAAAAATGCATGGGTGCATGGACAGTTAAACTCAGAATCATACCGGGCAAGTACTCAGTGCAAAAATAGACATTTAAGCCAAAATAGGAGTTGCAATACAGTAACTGAGGGAGAACGGGTATTTCCCTGCTACAAAAAAGAAAAAGAAAAAAGAACAAAAAAATTACACATATCTCTCATAACCATATTACATTTCCATTGTAATGCAGCATGAGGTTTTGTTGTACTAAAAATATCCCGACCAAGATGAATAACCCTTTGTGTCAGGAAATTGCCTCTTCCAGTGCTGCCTGCAACAACATCAAGGAAGCTAAGAGGAAATAATGTCACCAAGTGCAAAATGCACTGTACACCCTGAAATACAAAGTACTCAGTCATGGTTAAGCCTTCACAGCATAGCACAGGCCATGGCAAAATAGCTCTCCCTGTCTGTACGCTGTACTGATGTAACAAAGAAACTGCTTTCAGTGGATTCCTGATCATCACTCCTCCCCAGCGTAGACAAGTCTTGCTGAAATCATGCATCGTTAACAAACCAGTGGAAAACCTTTTTCTCCTTAGTACTAGGCAATCAGTGAAGAGACAACAGTTCTTCACTTAGCCACACAAAAAATGGTTTTGTAAATTTACCACAATTTTAGTAATCCAGATTTTTAAGGTCCAAACCCTTCATCCCGTAAAAAACAAACAAACAAACAGACAAACCAAAAGAAAACCAAAACCTCTGAAAATACACTGGAATGCTCATCACTTGAGCCTATTGGAGAGCTGCCAGGCAGAGAAGGACCTGGGAGTGATTGTGGACAGTCAGCTGAATATGAGCCAGCAGTGTGCTCAGGTGGCCAAGAAGGCCAACGGCATCCTGGCTTGTATCAGGAACAGTGTGACTATTAACTGTTGCCCAGTTCTGACTGCACAAATACCCCAGTATTTTCCAAATCTTCCTATCCCAGAAAAGGATGACAGCATTATAAATTACAGACTTAGAAGGCTGTGATCTTCCAACTTAATTCCTCTGGACATTTCCCTTATGAGAAAGAACTGGAATATGGCATTATTCAATCAGCAAAATGAAACATTATTCTTTCTATGGAAAAAGGACATATTTAAAAGAACTTTTTATAGAAAATAAAGTTTCAAGTCTCCATATTAAATCTTTTTGATTTATAAAACAATATAGTACTTCTTTTGCACCAGTGCCATCATAAATACATGTATACAACACATCGAACAGTGGTCAGCCCCGCAGTGCACTCCAAATGTCAACGCGTATTAAGCCCAGCCTGGCCCAGCCCTCTCCAAGTGACAGAACAGGAGAGAAAATGCATAAGCACTATGATTTCTTGCCCAAATAACTGCATTCGGACACATAAAGCTTACTTTAAAAAAAAAAAACAAAAAAAAACAGTTGTTTTCCTGGGCTGATCATATACTGCAATAGTCAGCACAGACTGGGGGAGGGAGAGGATAAAAAAATTAAAAAAAAAAAAAATCCTGTTTCCACTCTAGACGACTTAATGGCACTAACAACCAAGTTTGCTGCATGTGAAGAAATGAAATCCTTCACACTGATGAACAATTAAAAATGTATTTTAATTCTACAAATTTACAAGGGAAAAAAAAAAAGGAGGAAGAAAAAAAAAACCAGAAACAGTTCCAGGATTGTACTTCAAGTTTTCCTTTGTCAAATTCTGTAATGATCCTTGGCTTGTCACGTTAATTCCAGTCCTCTAGTGGAATGAAGCACTTATACTCCACACCCAGCAAGAGCCTTTGAAACTGTGATGGCATTTCCCCTGCGAAAAACATCTGCTCTCCCTAACAGGAAGAACAGAACTGCGGCACTTCGAAATCCACTCACATGAATAGTTCTCCTTTTTTCCCCTTTTTTCTGAGTTTAAAACTTGAGGCTGAAACCAGGTCCTGCAGCAGATGCTCCTTGATTTGTGGTGGTCAGATGAAAACCTGTGTCTTTCAGATCATCATCACCCTGTGAAAAACACACACAATATCAGTAAGTGTCTGCATACGCATTCATCTCTCCAACACAAAAATCAAACTTCTTAAAAAAAATTTAATCTAAATAAAAATTGAAGTATCTTTAAGAGAAGATCAATAAACATTTGACTATGTGTTGACATAATGATTCTGTGAATCGAACAGAAATTGGATTTGAAAAGGACCAGAGCAAAAGCTGGGCTTTCATGCTGTCCTTGTCAGGCAAGTCCAGGTGAGTCTAAGAGTTCCAGGCCCCGAAAAGCCAATGGAACACAGTCCATGTGCACATTTCCCACATCAGGATGAGGACATTGTCAGCCCATGGCAGGAAGGACAGCAAAAAATGCCAGCTGCTGACGCGCCATGCTTACCAACTGGCTGTATCCAAGGCCTCCCTCAGGTGGCCGGGGGCTAGTGCCACGTTTCACCCTTTGCTGTTCGCTTTTTGCTGGCCAGGTTGGAAACATGGAGGGGTCAATAGGAAGGGGAGTCTCTCGGAAATACTCGTGCTTCAAACCATCTTCGGCAGTGATTCTTCTGGCTGGGTAGTACGTCAAAAAACTGAAAAGGATTTAAAAAGACAATGAAGTAGGGAAGAAGGGAGTCAGGCAGAAAAAGGAAAAATGTAACCCCCAAAAGTCTAAATTCTTCAGAAATGCATTTTAGAAATTTCCATTTCTAAGAAAGAATTGTATTAACAAGCATGACTGCTTATAAAAGGACTAACAGAGAGAACTAATTTTAAAAGCATGCTTCCCCCACAAACCTGTAATTAATGGAACTCCATACCAAAAGGAGCCTTTGTTGGGGATCTGTTTAGGTAAGCGTAAATCATTGAGGCACCGCACTGTGGGGGGGTCAGACACAGCTCAAAAGGGATCCAAGATGGTTCAATTGAAATATTTATTTACTTTTAAAGAAGACAACAAAGATTATATAGATACACCATGTAACTGTACAGCTCGTGGTTAACTATTTTAAACATTTCACAGTGCAGAAATGTGTGTTACTGTACTGTTCATTCTACCAGCCTTTGGCCCTGACTATCCAAGCTTTGTACATGGAATGGGTTCCACTGCCTTCTGTACACTTTTCTTTCTTCCTTTTTTCAATTATAATTTAACAAGATCCTCCAGCAGACTGCACAATAGTTTGACTCACCACAAAATTAAATGTAACATGAATGAGCTAAAACATTTTCTGATCTTCTATGACATAGGCGTCCAAGAATAATCTTGGACTGATGTTTAATAGCAGATGTTAAAGAGCATGGCACACTGAACAAAGCTGTTGTGAGTGAGGAATAGCACTGAAAGAATGTCACAGACCCTCCAGCATGTTTTGACAAGATGTTAAATGCATGGAAATACCATGCTTCACTACAAGTCATTTTCCACAACTACCATACAAGTGAAAACATTTTCCCAAGGATACTCTAGAAGCTAGCACTTACTTGTTCATCAGATCAAAGCCCTGATCAGAGAGGAGTGCTCCAAATCTCTTGCGCAGATTGTTATAGGGATATTCTGTGAATGTCATCTTCTTTACTGCTGGCAGCTCGTTGTAACCAGGCCAAATTTTTTCACTTGGAGTACCCAGATCCTATAGATTAAAATGTCTTCTTAATAAATGCATTGCAGAGTGCAACCCTTCTGCTTATTCATCATGCAGTTACAGGAGTTGATAAATTCCAGAGAAAACAGATAAAATACAACACATAACCCTAGCCTAGCACTGGTACTGTAACACAAAAACCCAAAGCAGTGAGCCTTTTATTAAGGCCTAATCTCTGTGAAAGAGCTACAAGCACCTTCATTTTCCTACTACTCTCCTATAGCTGCCTCTATAAGCAGTCAATTAGAATCCAGAGGTGTTAAAAGCGTTACCTTAAAGACTTTGTTAATCTGGTCGATTTCTGACTTCCCTGGAAACAATGGTTTCTGAGTTAACAGCTCTCCAAATATACACCCTACAGACCACATGTCTATCGCTGTTGAATATTCCTAAAAAAAAAAAAAAGAAAGAAGGTACCTTATAAAATCAGTAAGATTTAAAAAAAAAAAAAAAGAATCTGCTCTACCCAAAATATGTACAGTCATCCCAATACCCAAGACATGGGCCTCAACTGTATTTATTCAAAACTCAAAGTCGCAGTGAATTCAGAGTAATACCCATAAACACACATATATACAAAAATACACCACAATGAAGAGTGAAAGTTGCCACAATGCTTCACTCAAACAGCATGACAGCTAGCAAAGTGTTCTAAACTTGCCCTGTGTTTCACAGAGATCCTTACCCCTTATGTTCCCACAACAGCAGTCTCAGGTTATGGGCACAAAGCTTGATCTCCACGATACATCTTTTCTCTTAAATGTAGCTTTATCTCCTTTCACAAAACCATCCTTGACAGATAGCATAGGGCTTCTTTATACTTTGTTCATGAATTATAAAATCAAGTTAGTCTGAAAAGTCATTTCACTAGCTCCCAGAAGAAAAAAGAGACACAAACCTTGGCTCCAAGCAGCAGTTCTGGAGCCCTGTACCAAAGCGTCACAACCACTGGTGTGTAAGGTTTCAGTGGAGATCCATATTCTCGGGCTAGTCCAAAATCTCCAACCTGAATGAAAAGAGAACCCCACAGAGAAGTCATTTTCCACCCAAAGAAAGAGTTCTTGTTATATCAAAACATTCTGTCTAGCTCTTAACATAGCTACAATGCAGTGTAATTCTGCAATATGAGATTTTTTTTGTAAATGTGGTTACATT